GATTTTTTGACCATATCTATGGAAGTTCATCTTGGTGTTTTTTTGATGATATTTTAATTTATAGTCCTACATGGGAGCAACACTTGGAGCATGTCCAACTCGCATTAAACATCCTCCGGCAACACCAATTCTATGTTAAGATTAGCAAATGTGCATTCGGCAAGCAAGAGTTAGAGTATTTGGGCCACATAATCACACATCGAGGAGTCAAAGTTGATGAACAGAAAATTGAAGCAATGGTTGCATGGCCAAGACCCTCCAACATCACTGAGCTCCGTGGTTTCTTAGGCTTAACTGGCTACTACCGCAAATTTGTTCAAGGTTATGGTTTAATAGCTCGACCATTGACTAACCTCCTTAAGAAAGGGCAGTTTCAATGGAATGAAGAAGCGGAAGTGACTTTCTTAGCATTGAAACAAGCCATGACATCAACCCTCACACTAGCTATGCCAAACTTTGCTGAACCTTTCATCATTGAAACAGATGCGTCGGGAGAAGGAATTGGAGCAGTTCTAACTCAACAACATAGACCGATTGCATACATGAGTCGAGCCTTGGGAATTAGTAAGCGAGCTTGGTCAGTTTATTCAAAGGAAATGCTAGCTATCATGGAAGCAATACGATTGTGGAGACCATATTTACTTGGCCGCAAGTTTTACATCAAAACTGACCACCGAAGCCTCAAATTTTTTTTAGATCAGCGTGTTGCAACTCCGGAGCAGCAAAAGTGGGTGGCCAAATTATTGGTGTATGATTATGAAATCATCTTTCGACCTGGCCGTGAAAACTCTGCAGCGGATGCTTTATCTAGGCGACAAGAGAGTCCATTGTTGGCTACTCTTCACTTTTCAACAGCTTATGAAACACAAGGCAGATGCTAATCCACATGGGCCCTTGACTTGGCGTGATGGTTTGTTACTTTACAAAGGGAAAATCATGGTGCCTACTGATCCTTCTTTAAGGGCCAAGTTGTTATATGAAGTTCATGATTCTAAGGTTGGAGGGCACCCGGGCATTCTTCGAACTTACAAAAGATTGCAGCAACAATTCTATTGGCCGAAAATGCATAAAGCTATTCATGAGTATGTCCAGAAATGTGAGATATGTCAGCGCATCAAACCTGCAACCATGGCCCCAGCGGGATTATTACAGCCCCTACCAATTCCAGAACAAGTGTGGGATGACATTACTCTAGACTTCATTGAGGGGCTACCAACTTCCCACGGCAAAGATACAATTTTGGTAGTCGTTGATCGGCTAAGTAAGTTTGCTCACTTTATTCCCTTAATTCATCCATTTACGGCTAAAGTTGTTGCAGAAAAGTTTATTGAGGGCGTCGTCAAACTCCACGGAATGCCACAATCCATCATCAGTGATCGCGACCCAATCTTCATAAGCAAATTCTGGCAAGAATTCTTCAAACTCTCTGGATCAAAACTCAAGCTCAGTTCAGCTTACCATCCGCAAACAGATGGCCAAACCGAAGTTGTTAACCGCTGCGTCGAACAATACTTGCGCTGCTTCGTTCAGCAATGGCCGCGCAAATGGAGTACTTATCTCGCTTGGGCAGAGTATTGGTACAATACCACCTACCATGTCTCCACGCAGATGACACCTTTCCAAGCTCTTTATGGCCGTCTCCTTCCACTCCTTACATCATATCCAGCGGGTCTTTCACCAGTCCATGAAGTTGATCAAACCCTCCTGCACCGTGATGAGTTACTCCACCAACTCAAGTCCAATTTAGCGATTTCCATTAACCGAATGAAACAACATGCCCACTCCAAGCATCGAGATACCCAGTTCAAAGTTGGTGATCTAGTACTCCTAAAGCTTCATCCATATCGCCAGCAAACGGTCTTTAAACGAGCTTGTCAAAAATTGTCCAGTCGATATTATGGACCATATCCTATTTTGGAGAAGATTGGAGCTGTAGCATATAAACTGCAACTGCCACCCACGGCTCGAATTCACCCCATGTTCTATGTCTCTTTGCTCAAACCATACAATGGCACTCAAGTTGACCCACCACTTGACTTACCTCCACTTACGGACGATAGAGTACCAGTCCTCGAGCCTCAACAAATACTTGATACCAGATGGGTTAAACGTGGAGACACCTTTATGGAAGAAAGCTTGGTGCACTGGAAGCATCTCCATTTACTTCATTTTACTTCATTCCATATTGACCCCTATCTCAAACACTTACAGTCCGTGTATCAAATAATGTATACCTTTTCCACCTTGTTGAGGTGAATGAAACCTGCATAAATTCAAAGTTAAACTCAGAATGTTACTACTGATATGGGTATGAAACTATCAAGAAACAAGTTGAAGACCACTATGTTAATGTGTATCAGTGTATTGTATATAGAGGTTTAGCTAGAGCACATACTTCAGGAAACAAACAGAACCCAACATTCTATTCAAGAAACCATTCATGACGGCAATATAATCTCCCCTAACATCAACAATATGCTTTTGCCCTTTTGCAACACAACTCAAATTTCAGAAATGAACCGAGTGAAATCTTTTTTTCAACTGCAATTCAAAATAAGAAAGTGGTGAAACATCAACTACAAAGAGCCACAATTTTCCAGATAATCATATTGAGTTTCGGAAGAGCCTCTGGAAAATGTTATCAAATAGTTAAAGGCTAAAAGCTCTAAGCTCTACGGCAGTGTCTAGTTGAAACCGATAAAAATGCTGTTAAAAAAGTGCTTTTGGGAGAAGCACTAGATAATTCTCTATTTATCTTGCGGCAACAAACAGTTCTTAAAGAGTAAATTGAGTTTTAAAAAAACAATTTCAGAAGGGTGCACTTAAGTGCTTTTATGAAAAGCACTTCTACTAAAAAAAAAAAAAAAAAAAATGAAAACCCTTCCTTCAAAATCACTTTCAAACCCAGCTCCACAAAATTGACACAAAGCCACTTTTGAACAATTAAAAGCACTTCTAGCGGTTCCCAAAGCACTCCCAAGTCCAACCCACACTATACTTTTGGCTCTCAATTAGCACAACCAGCATTCAAAAACAACAAAAACTTAAATATTTCAGCTCCCACATAAAGGAAAAAAAAGTCCTTGCTCTAGATATCATATATATGTCACTCATACCCAGAAAAAAATAATAATAATAAAACAGAAAAATAATATAATTCGTGAATCAGTAAATTGAATAGTTACAAGCAATGAATCAGGATTATATTAATATACAGAAGTATAGAACCAAATTTAAACCAAAAACCAGCAAACAAATTCAAAGAATAAAATGCTATTGTAAAGGAGATTACCGGGAACCTGAAGAGAAGGTCGTGGGGGACACGGTGGAGCGTTCAGAGAAGAGGAAGAAGAAAATCAAGCGACAAAATTGAAATAAGAACAATTTGTGGATTTATTCTCAGAATTAAATCTTATTATTATTATTATTATTATTATTTTGAGGTCACTAATTAACAAAATGCTTCTTATTATAGTAAATTGAAGTTGAGCAAATTTGATTAGATTTTTAATTTTTTGCGTAAGAAATAGAAGACGTATATTGAAATAAAAATGTAATTGTATTGGAGAATAAAAGATTAATATGATGCGTGATAGTATGTTAACGTATAAAACTAAAGTTTATAACGATTTAATTATAATTTTTATATATTTAAGTTGATTGATGATGTGGAAGTGCCAAGTAAGCCGTCACATCATTTGGGATACTATTTTTAGGATAAGAATTGGGAAAGGGTGGTATTATTGTTATTTTATTTAATAACTAAAAATATTATTTTCTATTTGAGTAAAAATTTTGACATCAGTCAATTGTTGGTTAACATTGATGGCACGGCAACATTTCTTGTCGACACATCCAGAATTGGTGTCCCAACAATCTGCCAATCTAGGAAAACTTGGCAATCGAAGGTCGGCAAAGTGACATCACATGGAACGACATATTATTCATGTTGCCACACATGATGTCACCTCCGATATCTTTGGCTATCAGAACTTGTCCAGACTGTCAGACTAGGGTTCTCCACTTGTCGACGATGATGTTGATAAGGTGTTTCCATCGATGATTGACAACCGATGAAAATGACATGGCAGTGGTTGTCGATGGTCGTAGAGATTAAGGAGATAGGTTAAAACAATAATTTCAGTTTTACAATATTTCAATTATTAATATAATAATAATAATTATTATTATTAAATTATAAAAATAATTAAATTCTAAATCAGCTGTTTCGGAGAGAAATTGGAAAAAAAAAAAAATTTAAATAGGGGCAAAAAAGAATTTCAATAGTATTACTACTGTTGGCGTAAGAGAAATAGCATTCTCCCATTTTGGACTAAAGTAAACGGTGGAGGGGGAGTCCAGCGTCCATTCCACAAAAGCAAACATGCCTTAGGATGATAAAAGATTTGCAATATATAGTTGGTTACTGCAACATTATTTGAAATGTAAAAAGTGAAATATAAACTTGAAATGCGTGTTTTTCCAAGAATTCAATAGTCTCTTTAATACTTTTAAAGGGGTCTTTTAACATCTATGAAAATCATGTGAAAACTTTCAAAAGTCATATGTGTATTTTTAAAATTAGAAAAAAATATATGGAATTTTAATGAAATTTGATCTTATAAAAATGTAAATCATAAACATTTGTAAATATCAAGAATGAAATTTTATGATTTACATTTTTCAAAAAAACTATTTTGTTCCTTCGTATTAACCTCTCTAATATATCTAATCAGAAAACTTAAATATTTATTAATGGTTGATTATTACCAAAGCAAAGTAAGATCTTGTGCTGATGGTTGATTTTCTTTTCCTTTCATTACGCTAAGTATATATTACTTTTCTTCTAGCTTAATTTCCATCATTAAGTCAGGTATCTTTTTCATATTTTAAATTTTTGTGTTGATCAAGAATCTAATTACTTTTATCTATAAATATGAGTAACATGGTCTTACAATTACCCTCTTGCAATCAATTTTTATTACTGAAACCAAGAACAAATGGCAGAAGGAATTGTATTTGGCATTGCAGGGAAAATCTTCAAAATGTTGGGGTCCTTGGCTGTCCGAGAAGGCAAATTGGCATGGGGTGTTAAAGATGAGATTCAAAAACTCAGTACCACTGTCAACACTATCAGACTTGTGCTTCTCGATGCTGAGGAGCAGCACAACAGAAAGAACTATGCGGCGGTGACATATTGGATTCAAAAGCTCAAAGATGCATTTTATGAAGCTGATGACTTACTGGACGATTTCTCTACTTACCTTCAACAGCGAGAGGTAATGACTGGAAATAAAATGGCAGTGGAGGTATGCATCTTTTTCTCCAAATCTAATCAGATTATATATAGTCTTAATATAGCTCATAAGATTAAGATAATTAGGGAGAAACTAGATGTGATTGAAAAAGACAGGGAGTTCGAACTTACTAGGAGTCTTGATGAAAAAAGAGTCATGAATATAGAAAGGGAAACACAGTCTTTTGTACGTGCTGAAAAGGTTATAGGAAGAGATGCTGATAAAGAAAAAGTTATACAACTTCTATTGGACTCAGACGTTAATGAGAATGTTTCTGTCATCTCCATATTTGGATTTGGAGGATTAGGAAAGACTGCACTTGGTCAACTTGTATACAATGATGAGCATGTTACAAACTATTTTCAATTAAGGATGTGGGTGTGTGTATCTAATAACTTCAATGTGAAAATAATTGTGGGAAATATCATAAAATCTGCAACTGGTAGGAAAACTGAAGGACTTGAAATAGATCAATTGCAAGAATGCCTACGCAAAGAAATAATTAATGGGAAAAAATATTTACTAGTTTTGGATGATATATGGAATGAAAATCCCATTATGTGGGACAAATTAAAAACTTTGTTAATGGATGGTGAAAGAGGAAGTAAGATATTGGTAACTACACGTAGTGNAAAAAAATTGTTTAACGTTCAAGAAAAAATCTAGAATAGCATGTGAGTACTTAATCATTTATACCAATGTTTTTAGGTGCGCAGGAAGCAAATACATCCCTGATAAATTACACACCAGTCTCTGCAGATTTGAAATTCATAAACACCCCCTAAAAAATCACGCATCAGTCTCTGCAGATTTGAAATTCAGTAAGCACAGCGAACACTCCCCTACAGCTTCGGTACTTTTTTTTTTCCTCTTTCTCTTCGTCGCTTTCTTCTGTCTTCTATCACTTTCCCCTCTCTCTTCTGTAACTTTCTTCTCAGTTCTTACCTCCTCTCTTTCTTCTTTCTTCTTCCTTCCTCTATTCTTTCTCTCTAACTTCTTCACTTCATTCTCTTCCTTCTCTTCTCCATCCCCTCCCTCTTATTTTACTTGACAGTCAAGAAGGCCCTGGCTGCCGCAACCTGGCCAAACGAGGTCCAAACCGAACCAGCCAAATCAGATATGGAAATTCTATGCCATTTGGGGACACCAGGATGCAATAAAGCCTTTGTTTTTTGTTTCTTCGATGAACCCATTATTGTAGTTCTCCTGCAACATCAGGTTTAGGAAATTCTGGTGGCTTGACAACCCTTAAGAACGATGGTTAAAATTCTTTAGAGCTATTGTAGTGAATCATATGAAAATAACACATCATGACATAATTTAAGGAGGCACAAAAAAAAAAAAAAAAAAAAAAAAAAAAAAAAAAAAAAAAAAAAAAAAAAAAAAAAAAAAAAAAAAAAAAAAAAAAAAAAAAAAAAAAGAGAAATCAACAAGAAAAATAAGAAGAAATTCAATTAAACCATCGCCTGATTCGACTACAAAATCTGAAATCGATTCTAAACTAAATGAAGATTGTAGTTTGTAGATGAGTTTTTGATTCAATCGACGTTTGCATAGTTGAGAGAACAAGGGATTGTAAAATTGGAAACAGGCTATTTTTATTTTATTGACCTTGTTTTGTTCCTGGGCTGGTCGCGTCGGCGGTTTACAATTGTCCCGCCAATCTGACCACGGGTCACCCCGGATTAACTTACACAAGCTGTTTTTTCTTCGACTCAGATCGATGGAGGCCCCAAGTCCCGGTCCAACCAATTGAACCGATTGGGCTGGGCCGGGTTTAAAAACAATTATTTATACCACAAACCAATGAATTTATATTAGTTTTAAATTTATTATCTCTCATCTATTTAATTGGCTATGCTCTATTGGCAACACTCAATCATTATCCCATGACAACGATAACAACTATTTTACTTTATATTTTTTTTTCTAATATAATCTATTAATATTCATTTGAATCTGTTTATATTTATCAAATATGAGGATGAAAATAAAAGCGTGTAGAATGAACCCTTTATATTTGGACGTGATTAAATAAATAAATAAAAAATGGTAAACCTCATTAATGCCCCCACGACCCTGTGGTTTGTAGCATAGCTTAAGAAATTATGTTTAACGATATGTATGAGGTATCATAAACATGTGAATTCTCTGAATGATCTAATAAAGTATTGTTATATCAAGCTTTTTTAAAAACGATTCCAATAGATTATGTGTTCATGAACAGTATATCTTTTAATTAGACCAACTCGGGTTAATGAATGATGTCATTGTCATTGTTGGTTGTAATCTTTAATTATACCCAACATCTTGGATTTGTACTTTCTCTTTCTCAAATTGAAAATACTCAACTCAGATATGATCATGATCTTTTATATGATTCGACAAATCCATAACATAGTTATTTTTAGTGTGATGGCTTGAAACGTTGACGTTTTATGGTTTAAGTGAGACGATGCAGATTTGAGCATATCCAAACAACAGATCCTGAGCGTTGATGGAGAGAAGATTCGATGGCTGAAATTAACTCTTCGGTAAACCATATAAAAGAAAAACTTGGCAGATTCAGAAATACAGTGTTTTCGTGAAAAACTCTCTCTTCTTTAGAGCAAAATCGAGTCTGTTAGGGTTTACGATTTTAGTGGTTGAATCTTGTAACTTTGTGATTTATTGACTGGTTCAGATCATTCTGGGTGTATTTGTTTATGCGATTATTAGGGATTCGAAGGGTAGAGTCTCTAGGTGAGTTACAGATTGTGGAAGGGATTGGAAGGGTTTTTCGTCACTGTGTGTAATCTGAACTGTAATCTTGACAGTGTTTAGTGCAGTGAGCTTGATTGTTTCCCGAGCTCAACATGGACGTAGCTTGCTCAGATTGAGCAAGTGAACCACAGTAAATTCTTGGTGTTCTTGTGTGTGTGGTTTGTGATTCTTTATCGTGTTGATTGTGGTTGGTTGTTTTTGTGCGTGTGGTTATAATAGTGGTATCAAAGCGTTAGGTGACAAGAAATTAGGGAAGCTATCAGGTCCCAATTCCAATCTGAGATTTCTAGGGTTTTATGGATAGTCCTTAAAATTGGGGCTTTCTCAATTTTAGGGCTTAGAAATCAAATTGGGAATTAGAAGAGTGTTATTCTAAACGAATTAGCATAGATCTCATTAAGAGTATAAATCTAGGGTATTCCCGTTTCTTGAAGTTTAAGAACAGAGTCTGAGTTCTTGACCTTGCTATCTCAAAAATCAATCAAACACTTCACCATGTCAAATACCACCACCCGAATGGAAATCTCCCAATATGATGGGAAGATTGACTTCAGGAGTTGGAAGAAAAAAATGAACGCGTTGCTTTCTCATAACAAGGTGGCCATTGCACTGGAAGAGGACTCCAAGAAGTGGCCAGATAAGAAGCTGAAGAAAAAGGAGGAGATCGATGAAGAGGCATACAACCTGATAGTCATGAATTTATCCGACAGCATCCTCCGGAAGGTAAACGAAATTGAATCACCGATTGAACTATGGGGTAAACTCAACTCCTTGTATGCTTTGCAATCTGTCCCTAACTTAGCCTTTTTAAAGGTGGTTTTATTTTCGTACAAAATGGACAGTTCTAGGAGTATAGATGAAAACCTAGACGAATTTCTAAAAATGGCCTTAATCCTGAAAGGGACAGACCAAGCATCAGGAGAAACTAGTCTACCCATGATTCTATTAAACTCCCTGACTGATGACTACCAAGTAGTCAAAAATGCCCTACAGTACTCTGGTACTATACCAAATCTTGACCTAATAACAGTAGGGCTTGGGGCCAGAGAACTAGAACTAAAAACCTAGAAACAGAATGGCACAAACCTATTTGTTAAGAGCAGAGTCGAGCCTAGTCAGACTGGGAAGGGAAATTAGACACATCAGGGGACTAGAAATAAGAAAAAATGGAAGGGTAGTAACAAGAATAGAACAGAATCTATAAAATGCTTCTTTTGCAATAAAACTGGCCACATAAAAAAGAATTGTTTTGAGTGGATTAAGAATCAAAAACAGGGGAATATAGAGAGCAACTTAGCCACCACTAAAAACCTATTAGAGGAACCAGAAGTTCTTATTATGTCAATGTCTGACACTGGTGAAGAGTCAGTACTGGACTCAGGGTGCTCATTTCACATGAGTCCAAATAGGGACTGGTTCCAGGAGTTTGAAAATACTGACAATGAAACTGTTTACATGGGAAATAACAATGCATGTAGGGCAAGAGGGATAAGCACAGTGACACTAAAGGTTAACACTGAGAAATTGGTAAAATTAACCCAGGTCAGGTATATCCCTGAACTTAAAAGAAACCTGATATCTCTAGGTACCTTAGATGAATCAGCATGCTGTTATAGAGTAGAAAATGGATGCTTGAACATTTACAAAAATAAAAAAACTTGATATTGAAAGGAGAGAAAAGAAATGGTCTTTATATACTCAGTGGGAACCATTCCCAAAACTGTTTTAATTATGTGCTTGTATCTTCTAACCTGTCCAATATAGAGAAATGACACCTTAGATTAGGCCACATGAGTCAAAGAGGCGTGGACATCCTAGAGCATAAAGGGCAGTTTGGTAAGGATAATGTTTCATCACTAGAGTTCTATGAGAACTGCATCTTAGGCAAACAACATAGGAACAGTTTCACCAAGGGGACACATCCAGCCACTAGCCAATTAGAATATATGCATTGTGACCTATGGGGACCTCGGAAAGTGAAATCTCATGGGGTTAATAGCTACTTCATGTCTTTGGTGGATGATTACAATCGTAAGGTGTGGGTGTATCTATTAAAATCCAAAGATCAAGCCCTAGCTAGGTTTAGGGACTGGAAACTCCTAGTAGAGAACCAAATAAACAAAAAGGTGAAGGTTCTTAGAACCGACAATAGGTTGGAATTCTGCAACCAAGAATTTGACAAATTCTGTAGTGATCAAGGGGTTTTGAGACATAGGATAGTAAAATACACCCCACAACAAAATAGAGTGGCAGAACGAATGAATAGAAACCTCCTTGATAAGGTCAAGTGCCTATTAGTTACCTCCAAACTCCCCACCTCCTTTTGGGGAGAAGCACTTACCACTGTAGCATATTTGGTAAACAGGAGCCCATCTACAACCATAAACCTAAAGTGTCCAAAAGAAATGTGCACTAGAAGAAGACTTGACCTAAGCCACCTAAGAGTCTATGGCTGTGCAACCTATGCACACACCAGTGGAGGAAACTTGAACCTAGATCAACCAAAAGCATTTTTTTAGGGTATCAAGAAGGGACTAAGGGCTACAGAGTTTGGGATAGGGAATCTCCAGGAGTTAGAATTATTATGAGCTGAGATGTGATATGCAATGAGGGAGTTTTTCCCTGTAAGGACACTAACACTAATGCAAGTTCTACTTCAAGCTTAAAAGAGGGCTTCAGTCATCCTAGGGTTACACCAATTGAGCTGGAGCTCCTTACTCAATCCCAATAACCTCAAGGAACTGAAACCATCCAAGAAATTAAAGTTGTTACTGAACATGAAGGAGAAACTAGACAATCTGATCTAGAACATGAGGATGAGACAGAAACAGCAGAAGACACTGAAACTCAGCCTGAAAACTTGCAAGACTACCAGCTTGCAAGAGATAGAACCAGAAGATAGGTAAGGGCACCCACAAGGTATTCATATGTTGATCTAATCTACACTGCTCTTCTTGCAGGTACTGAAGTGC